GCCCACAGAAAAGTGGGAGAAAGACATCAGTCAGTGTAAGACATGAAAAAACAATAATTTATAAATTTTCAAGGGTTCATGAGGGAGTGAGGGGGGAAATGAGAAGCTGATACCAAGGGCTCAAGTAGAAAGAAAATGTTTTGAAAATGATGATGGCAACAAATGTACAAATGTGCTTGATACAATAGATGGATGTATGGATTGTGATCAGAGTTGTACGAGCCCCCAACAAAATGATTTTTTTAAAAGAATTATATATCAAGCAAACATCCAAGCCCAGTTCAGATCAAGTCCATAAGTCTGATACTAGTCCATAAATCCCTCTTCAGACTCACTCAGCCACACACAATGATGCAGAATGCAGGAGGATCACAGGCCGGTGGGTGCAAGGTCTTGTAGATCCAATGACAGTGGAAGCTTCTCCAGGGCTCTGGCTGCCATCAGCATGTCTCAAAGTGGCTTGTCAACAGGAAGGTGAAGGAGAGAGGGAGAGGGGCCAGCCTCCAATGAGCTGTTTATCTTGGTCATGCCTCCCAATGAGGTCATTAAGGTGAGACCTGATTGACAGGCTAAACTCCACCCCTACACTTTATCAAGTTGACACGAACTTATGTAACTACTACAGTCACCTCCGTGCTTTCTACTCCTGGGTCCTCCCCACATGGTCATTGTCATGCCCTCCATGCCTGGGACTCTCCATGTACTCCCTGTCACGGCCTCCGTGCCTGGGTTTTCCCACATGGTTACCTCTACAACCTCCCTGCCCAGATTCCCTGCCCCTGCCAGTCGCCGTTCGATCTTCCCATCCAGAGCCTCTGCCAGGGTCTCTGTCATGTCCTCCAGGCCTGGGCCCTCCCTCCCACGATCATGCTCATATCCTCCATGCCCGAGTCCCCCAACAATCATTTCACGTCCTCCATATCGAGGGTCCCTCACAGGCCACCTCATTCCACATGCCCAGACTGTGCCCCAGCCCCCACCAACCACCAGTCACTGACCTTCATGTCTCCTGTACCCGGGGCTCCCCCAAGGTCACTGTCATGTTCCTCATGCCCAGTTCTCTCCACGTGGTCACCACCATCCCCGTTTATGCCTGAGTCCTCTCATGCAGTCCCCACCATAGTCTCTCCACAGTCACTGTCAAATCCTTCATGCCTGG